TGAAAAGGTCTTTCAACCCCAAAAGGGGCCCAGGACCCACAGGTTGAGAATCACTGTTCTAATACAATTAGGTCTTTTTGTTTCTTTCCCTTCTCAAGACATCATTCCAGTAGTTACAATTTAACACCTATTTATTCCTGTTTTTTAAAGCATTTTGCTGGGGGCTCATAAAACTCTTATCACATCCATTGTGTCAAGCACATTTGTACATTTGTTGCCATCATCATTCTCAAAACATTTGCTTTCTATTTGAGCCCTTGGTATAAGCTCATTTTCTCCCCTATCCCTGCTCCCCCACCCTGAACCCTTGATAATTTAGAAATCATTATTTTGTCATATCTTAAACTTCACCCACTTTTCTGTTGTTCATCCCCCAGGGAGGGGGTTATACCTAGATCCTTGTGATCATCAGTTCCCCCTTCCCACCCCACCCTCCCTCCACCTTCCTGGTATCACCACTCTCAGCACTGGTCTTGAAGGGATCATCTGTCCTGGATTCCCTGTGTTTCCAGTTCCTATCTCTACCAGTGTACATCCTCTGGTCAGCTGGATTTGTAAGGTAGAATTGGAATCGTGATAGTGGGGGAAAGGGGGAAGGAAGCATTTAGAAACTAGAAGAAAGTTGTATGTTTTATCATTGCTACACTGCACCCTGACTGGCTCCTCTCCTCCCTGCGACCCTTCTGTAAGGTGATGTCCAGTTGCCTTCAGATGGGAGTGGGTTCCCATTCTGCACTCCCCCTCATTCACAATGATTTTATCTTTTGTTCTTTGATGCCTGATCCCTGATCCCTGATCCCTTGGAGACCTCTTTATCACACAGGCTGGTGTGCTTCTTTCATGTGGGCTTTGTTGCTTCTGAGCTAGATGGCCACTTGTCCTAGGAAATTTTTTGTGAAGGACTCTATAGAGCTTGTCCATTGGTAGATATTGTAATGAATGTAATATTGCAATATATACAGACAGGTGCATATTAAGTTACAAATGATTTTTATTTTAAATTATGACTCTTAAAAATTAACAAATTATAAGAAAAAACATTCAAGACCAGTTTCCTTCGTAGTCTAATGTATTAGTTAAATTATGTTCAGTGTTTTATTTTTTAATAATACTTTGTGTTTTAGATGAGCAGTTTAACCATTTTTATATAGACGGTTCCATGACATTGATTATGATGTTCACAGTTGTCAACATTCTCATTTCTATGGTCAGTTCTGTTTCCACTCTTCTAGTTTCCCTTCCCCTCCTTATCTTTGCTTTTGGGTAAACGTTGACTTTTTTTTATCTCATACGGTTGATTGCTGAAGGGAACATGTTACTCACTCACAAGTGGCATTGCTTATTTTAGAGGCTCATCTATTATATGGCTGAAGGATGACCTGCAGAAATAGATTCAGTTCCAACTTCAGAGGGTATTTGAGGGTGATAGTTGGTCCAATAGAACAAACAGGTACCATCTAATTCTTCTGGTCCCTGTGGTTCATTTGGGCTGTTAGTCTAATGGACTACTTTCTTCTTTGGGCTTTGAGTCCCTTCATTCTCTTCGTATGAGCAGAGACTAATAGTTGTACATTAGATCAAGACCAGCTTGATGACCAAAGTGAGTGGCTTGACTGGATAAGCCAAAACGGTGCCACTGCAGTGCTTGGTGGCTGTAATTTGGTTCACATATTTTTTCCTTTGCCCTTTGGAAAACTAATTTAATTGGTTTTCACACTTCATGGGTATGATCCAACCACCATAGTAGAATTTATTGCCTCTCTTTGCTTTGGACAGATCATTTGGATTTAATTGGTTACAGGATATAGCTGGTTTCTCATTACACAGTCACTACACAAAAGAAAATATAACTAGGTAGCAGTTATTCTAAGAGGACTCCTCCACCACCACCATCCATCAGGGAGCTCCCAAATTCTAAGGTGGCTGGGGTGGTGCACAACATCTAAAAATCCTTCTTTGGAAATGATCACTGTTCCAAAGGCAGTTTAAGAAGGAAGGGAGTTGAGTACCTCCTATAGAAGAGCATATTCGTTTTGGAATGCTAGTGTAACAAATGATCACAAATTTAGTAACTTGAAAATACACATCTTTTTAATCTTATAGTTCTGACCATTAAAAATCTATCAGGGTTCACATAGCTGTGGTTCTTTTCTTTTGTCTTTCTTTTTTTGCTACAAAATAATAGAAATATTTATGAAACAAAAATGTCAAAATACAAAACTATTATTTCTTGACATTACTCCATCTAGGTCTATTTACTTCTGAAGGCAGTGTTTCCATCCCTCCCGTCTTTTATAGAAGAATTCTGCAAGCTCTAATTTACACCAAGTCAAAACTGCATTTTTCTGCCTGCAGAGACTCAACGTATGTTCCTATTCATTGTTCTTTGAGTTCCAAGAACAAAAAGAATTTTTTTTTTAATTAACAGGCTTTATTGGGAAATCCCACCCGCTGAGCTTTTAGGGAGACTCCAGGGAGAGCAAAGAAGCGGAGATCAGAATAACCAGGTAGTAGAACAGCTGAAAGGGGAGCAAGTCAGAGCAAGGGCACCAGAGAAAGCTGAACCAAAAGAATTCTGAAGGAGTGACAGCAGGGTTGTATTGGGGAGATGGAGCAAGGTTTTCCAAGAAATTTTTTCACCTCATAGTCCTTGCTGCCCTCGAAGGAATAGGCACATTGTGATGATGGAAAACAATTCCTTGGAGAAACTTTCTAGGCTTTTCCTCTGTGGTCCTTTTCAAAGCTCTGGAGAAGACTCCATCTCTTTGTGTTTGACCTCCCCCCAGCCCCCAGATTCTAGAAGCCATCTCTCTTCCCACTGTTTTCACATGGAGCCGCTAAACATCCTCTCTTCCTTTTTGACCTCAGCGCCCATCCTTGTATCTTCTCTTTGAGAACATTCATGATGATGTTTGGACCACAGGAATTAACCAGAACAATCTCCCCACCTCCAAACCATTTATTTAACATCCTGCAAAATCTTTTTTGACATGTAAAGTAAAATATTCACGTGTTTCAAGAGATCAGGCACAGATATGGCTGGGAGTGGCAGGAAGCATTATTCAACCTACTACAGGAAGGAATTTTAAGGCTAGTTACATAAATCAACTAATTTTATACTTTTTTTAAAAGCTGAAGCTTAAACACAGTACCTTAATATGCTGACCAAAAAAAAGCTTCCCTTTTTACAAAAATATGTCGAGAAGTATCAAGTTCAGGACTTGAGTGCAGCACTGAAAACCAAGCATCTGTGGTTGAGATTGTGTCATTTCAAAATAAGAGAAAGAAATACAGAACTGGCGATTTAACAAAGAATACACACCTGCTGTGTGAACATTCTAACGGCTAAAGACCTTAGAATGTTTGAGGCAGTAAGAAAAGTATTCCCTGGTAAGCGCTACCAGAACTTCCGTGGGTTAGCAGCGGTGGTCTTCTCCTCCAGCAGTGTGGTCTACAGGAATGTAATCTACTGAGATGCAGAATGTATAGAGCTGGGGTGGGTTGGGGAGGGAAGGAGGGAACTTGTGGGAGTAAAGGCAGAGAAAAAGGCATCCAAAGCCCAGATCCCGGGACTTTGGAAATAAGCCATTGGTACGCCTGTGACCTGAACACTGTGCTCTGCTCTCCCTGCAGACCATGATGATGGGCAGCGTGAAGGTGGCGCAGCTGCTGCTTCGCCACGGCGCGGACCCCAACTGCGTGGACCCAACCACGCTGACCAGGCCGGTGCACGACGCGGCCCGGGAGGGCTTCCTGGACACCCTCAAGATGCTGCATCAGGCAGGGGCGCACCTGGAAGTGCAGGACCTCTGGGGCCGCCTTCCCGTGGACCTGGCTAAGGAGCAGGGTCACCATCACATTGTCCAGTATCTGCAGGCAGCTGCCGCCACTGATGACCCCGCAGGTAAGAGAGAGCAGATGCCCAGAAGGGGAAGGGGGGCTGGCTGGGAAGGGCAGGCAGGGCCTGGGGCTTATCTCCGCTCAAGGAACGCCTGGGAAGCAGCCGGCGAAGGGATTCAACCTTGGAGGGCTGGGTGGGTTTCGACTGCGGGGACTCCCTAGTAGCCCAGCACTTAACCCAGTGCGTCCCCAGAACTCCCCCTCTGCCTTAAGTGCCAACTTTTGGAATTTTGTTTCTTTAGAGAGGCGGGGAGAGTAGTATTTTTTTTAAATCACAATATATCTAAAGGAAACAATACCTGAAATGTGCAAGACTGACAGTAAAGCACCCGCTTTGAAAAATGGTGAAATCCATCCTCTGGCTCACTGGTGGCGCTGTCGGGCAAGCGATGGACCCACAGGGTACCCTTAAGCCCCTCCCCGCCCCCCTTCACCCCCACCTCCACCCCTTGCGGCTACTGGGTTGCCCGCCCGGCCGGAGGCGTCTGCTCCCCGGAAGATTTACAGAGGCTCCAAGCAGACTTGGCGGGCAGTAGGTTTTGTTTTCCTTCCTTTGAGTTTATCCTGCTGGC